TTGCTTTAAAAATAAATGTTACAACATGCTCTGACAACTTAATAATGGGTAATGGTGAAGTGAATTATTTTCAAGATCTGCTACAGAGTAATCCTATAGAAAATCCGAATGACTATTGAAGGTGGTCCCTCATTAGTGACTGTAGATTAGAATACCATACTAGTGGCAATTCCTTCGAAAATAAAGATCAAACAAGCTATGTTTAACATACATCCATCTAGTGCTCTATGGCCGGACAGTTTCACTGCTGCTTTTTATCAGTCTTGTTGGGATATCATTAACCCTTAACTTGTCAAAGCAGTGCAGGATGTTTTCAAAATGGGTGACATTCTGACTTCATTGACTGCATCAACGATGGTATTAATACCCAAATGCTAAAATCTCACCGATTATAGTGATCTGAGGCCAATCAGTTTATTTAATGTCTCTTATAAAATCATCTTCAAAATTTTATCTCAAAGGTTGGGTAAGGTATTTCCAAATATTATTTTGGATGAACAATATGGTTTTTTAAAAGGGAGATTAATTCATAAAAATGTTGAGCGGATGCATGAACTATCTCAGGAAATTGATAGGAAACACTCAGAGGTAACGTGGTTTTCAAGGTAGATATGGAAAAAGCATATGATATATTAGAGGGGGCTTTTTTGATTAAGACTATGCAGAAATTTGGGTTTTTGAAAAAATGATGCTCAATTATTTTCAGGTGCCTTAACAATTGCAGGTACTCTATAATGCTGAATGGCAGATCCTTTGAATTCTTTCGTTCAGGGAGAGGTGTATGACAAGGAGACCTCTTATCACCAGCCTTGTTTATTCTAGCTCAAGATGTGTTAAGCACAAAATTGAATGACCAAGGGAATAGAGGACGGATTCTGCCTTATTGAACAGGTCGATCGGTTATTAATGTGAACCACCTATTTTTTTATGAATGATATGCTACTATTTAAGCACAAAATTAAATTGATTGGATCAAAAAAATCAGTTGATTAACCTAATGGTTCTCCTAAAGAGGTACTGTGTGTGTAGTGGTCAAATGGTGATTGCTAGAAAGAGTGATTTTCTCTGTAGTAATAAACTACTGGTGAACATGATAAGAATGATTCAAAGGTGGACAGGGTTTAGTCAGTCAAAGCTTCTATCCTCTATTTGGGAATTCTGTTCTTCAAGGGAAGAGCTAAACTCTCCTATTTTCAGGTGTTGGAAGAAAAATATAACAATAAACTAGTAGGATAGAAAGGGAAGCTGCTATCTTGGGGGGTAAATTAACTTTAATTAAATCTGTGCTTTCCTTTATTCCTATATATACAATGGCAGTCATGCGAGTTCCAAAAAAACTAGTTTGTGTATTCAAAATCGCATTGCTAGTTTTTTTTTTTTTTTTTTTTTTGGAATAGTGGAGATGAAAGAAGGCATCATTGGATCAATTGGGAAACTATTACCAAACCATATGATAAGGAGGCCTTGGGGTAAAGAATTTACACGTAGTGCTACAGGCTATGAACGGAAAATTGACATGGTCTTATTTACAAGGCAACTCACTTTGGGCCTATTTTGTTATAGTAAAAAATGGCGCGGTGAACTCAATGGCGATAGGAGAAAAAAGGGTTCGTTAGTTTAGAGAAGCCTACTACCATACATTCAGGTTGTTGGAGACAACTCGGATTGGTTGGTGGGGAATGGAGATGTATCTTTGGGAAATGGGCACGACTCTAGGGAGGATCTGGGATATTGGGAAGACATAGCGGTGAGAGAAGTTATTAATAACGGGATAGCTATGGCTGATCTACCTACAATTGTGAGAGCTTCCATCCGTGCAATATGTATTCAACCAAATGAGAAGGATAAACTAATCTTCACACAATTAGCTGATGGAAACTTCAAAATGGCTTTGTTTACTAAATGTCTAAGACTCCCTAGTGCACATTTTCAATGGTGGAAAAAAATATGGAATAAATGGATTTCGGTGAAACTATCTATTTTGACTTGGAAAGTGCTACACGGAGGAGTGGCAATTGATAGTATGACCAAAAAATGTGGGTTAGCCGTACCTGCTCGTTGCCATTGCTGCACCTATCCTGCTATAGTGATGTTGAATCATCTGTTTATGGAAGGATCTATGGCAAGGTCAGTATGGGATCGCTTTGCACAGATATTGAACATGGCATCAGGGAGAAGCAGTATAAGGGGTCTGCTATGTGCTTGGCTAGGGACTTCGAGAATCCAGAATCAGAAAATTTTCAACAAAATGGTGATATTCCATTGCTGCATATAGGAGATCTGGAATGTGAGAAATAAAGCTTTATTTGATAGAGTGTTGATGAACACTGCTGTTATTTTCAGAATCAAAAAATGGCTACATGAACTGCACAATTGTTTCATGCAAAAAACAAGGCTGAATTTCTATGATCAGTTAAGTATTCAGGTGCCAGGCATCCCTCTGAGTACACCCACAATAACTAGGGGAAAATGGGTTGCATGGTATCCCCCTGCAGTTAACATATACAAGTTAAACTATGATGGATCACCGAAAGAAGGCTTATGTTCTGGAGGAGGTGTGGTGAGAGATTGGCGAGGTAAATTGATATTTGGCTATTCCTCTTTCTATGGTCATGGGACTAACATGAAAGGTGAAGTGTGTGCTTAAGTGGAAGGACTGTCTTTATGTAGAGCAAACAACATTTAGGTGAGCTTTGTGGAAGTGGATTTGAAAGCAATGGTGGATTCAGTGGATGGTGTTCAAGCAATTCCATGGAGATTAATATACCAGATTCGTAGAATTAAACTTTTGCTAGGGGAGTGTAAACTGTCTCATGTATATAGAGAGGGAAATTCGATAGCCGACAATTTAGCAAACCATGCTTATTCTCACAAAAGCCAAGTCCTATATAAAGAGGCGATTGCAACGCTAGTAGCTCCTCTTCTAGCCTTAAAGGAAGATAGATTAGGCTTGCTAAGATTCTAGAAATGATGGGGAGTTTCACTATAGGTAGCAGAACTTTTGTTCAGTTAGTGTGCAAAAAAGTATAAAGAAAACATACATGACACTATTTTGTTACTGTGTATAAGTTATTTCCTACGTGACTTGCATGCTTTTCTTCTACTTTTGTTTATTTATTTAGTACTTAGTTCTGCAGTTCCTCTACTTTATTTTGTATGGCTGTCAGGTTTTGTCCGATTAATATATAAGAGGTCTAGGCTAGATTGTCCCCTCTGATTCTTTTCCTATTAATAAAATTTCCAGGATATTGTCTCTATTTTCCAAAAAAAAAACAAAAAAAGGATATAGGCTCAAGACCATGTTCTTACTATTTTAGATTTTTCTTATTAGTAAGTTTTGAATATGTAATTTTTATTTTCATCATTTGGTGGGTGAACTTGGACTTAAAGTTCAAATTTGTTTTTATTTTATTTTATATCTTTTTCTTTGGGTTTTGGTTATTTAATTTATAAAGGCTAATTGGTTCGATAATACCCTATACTATTGGTCAAATGGACATTGGTACTCTAGCTTTAATTTTTTCAATTTTGAGTACCATAACTATTTTTTAGTTTGTAATCAAGTCGACTCGATCTTGTTGACCAAAATCCAAATATATCTTTCGCACATGATGTTGATATAACTCAATAAATAAAAAACACATAGACCTTTTTATCGGTGTTGTCCTTATTTTTAACCAACATGATCATGTGAAATTACAAAATATCGTTACTCTTAAATTAAAAAAAAAAGTAAAATTTTGAAAAATTCTTAAATTATTTAATCAAACCTTTCAATATAGGTTTTATTAGCCTAGGTGGGAAATCCAATTATCATAGGAAACTCAATAATGTATAGGCTTAACAAGACATTCAATATGGGTTTTATTATCCTAAGAGGGAAATTTAATTGATACTAGCCATTTCTTATGTTTCAATTTCATCACCACTAATAATTTAGGTAGCAAATCGAGAATTCCATCACTAATCTCACTTCTATAAGGCTAGAAATCACTAAAGAAGGCAAAGTAGCCATCATTGCATCCTCAAATTCAATAATTTGGCAAAGCACAAACATAGAGTAAGCAACCCTTCGGCAAAGCACAAACATGGAGTAAGCAACCCTTCTTGTTCTTTTATTAGCCAAAGGGTTAATTATTTGGCAAAGTTTTGAATTAAGGTGTTTTGGTTTTTGTTCATTGTAAGGCTAAACTATTTGAGATTTGGATCTCATGTTTGTGTGCAAAATAGCTTCATAAATGTCTAGGTTGTTTGTAGGTTTATTGATAATGGTAGGAAAGCTTTAATTTTATGCTTGAGAACATAGTGCCTTTCTTCCAATTCTCTACAAGCAATCCATCAACTTGGACATTAAGAAGCTCTCACCATAAACATGGATTGTTCCATAAGGTGGAAAATTATCCAAAACAAAAAGAGTGTTTTTTAGACCTCTTTCATGTCTGCAACCATGAGATTGGAGGGGATTCAACAATTGTTGATGGAGAGAGGTTTAGTGTTATAGAGGGGGATAGTGGCGATAATGGAGGTTGTTAGAATTAGAACGCCGGATTTGGTGTCGAAGGGGATAGGGCTCGAGTATGAACAAAGGTCCCATTTGAAGCTATTAAGGAATGTGAATCAATATGTTAAGGAAGAAGATCAAGAAATTTAAGTGTATAATATCCAACTAATATGGATAGTCAACTATCTTTAATAGCACCTTGATCTTAGGATTGTAAATAGGAAACTATATCATATATGCTTTATTCTAGGAGTCAATATCGGTGTATATATTGCCTTATTCTATTAATGAAATAAACACATAGAATTCATTTCAACCTTTCTTTTCATGGTATTAGAGCAATAACGTTCTTGAACCTACTTGATCTCTTTTTTTTGCACAGGAAAGATTACCCACCTCCACCTACTCAACATATGTAGGAAAGGAGCAAAACCAAAATTTTGCCAAGGTTGAGATCAACAAGTTTGACAATCCAAACGAACCCTTTTACCTTCATCTTTCAAACCAACTCGGCCTTGTGCTTGTCACATAGCAACCGAATGGAGAGAATTATAGTACTCGGAGTCATGCAATGCTCATGGCTCTCAATATCAAGAACAAGGTAGGTTTTGTTAATGGTACCATCAAACAGCCATAAGAGACTTCCATCATGGAACTTCAATAATGGAAGCGCTGTAATGATCTTATGAGAGCATGGATTTTTAATTCAATCTCATATGATATTAAAGCAAGCGTAATCTATAATGAAAATGGTCATAAAATCTTGTCCGACTTAAAAAGAGGTTCTCTCGGCACTAACAATGTCCATCCTTTTCATATTGAAGAAGCCGTCCACAATTGCAAATAGGACAACATGACCATTGTGGCTTATTACACCAAACTTAAAGGCCTATAGGATGAACGGGATGCATTGAATTGCATCCCAACGTGCACATGTGGTACCGTAAAAGAAGTTTTACAGCTTCAACAAAGTCAAAAAACCATGAAATTTCTCATGGGACTTAATAAAGTTTATGCTAGTGGTTGAGGATAGATTCTTCTCATGGAACCACTTCCTAGCGTCAACAAAGCTCATTCACTCATCCTCCAATATGAAAACCAATGAGGTATGTCAAAAAGAAGTATGTCTTTAATCAAGACTTTAACCTTTATCGCTAAGAATAATTTAAGGAATTATGATAGGAATTTCACACCTAAAAATCCTCATCCGCAATGTGTAATCTGTGATAAAATTAGACACACCTCGGAGACATGTCGAGCACATCTCAAGTGTGACTATTGCGGATGGGAAGGTCACACCATTGATATCTATCATAAACAAAAAAAAAGGCAAGTTTCACAAGGAACAAGTCTTATCAAAAGGAGAGTAAAAATCCTTCATCAATAGTCAATCATGCATCTATTACTCCTACACCATATGCTCTCATAGTAGAGCAATATGAAGGACTTATAACACTCTTTAATAAAAGTAAGTCCAATTCTATGGCCAATCATGCCGGAGGTACATCTACCATAAACAACATATCATGTGCTATTTCATGTGCTTTTGTTATTGACAAAGAAGTTCTTTGGATACTTAACACGAGAGCTACCGACCATATGGTTTGTTCTTTTGCCTTGTTGACCAAAAACTCTCGAGTTTCCAAATAAACCGTAAATCTACCTAATGGAGCCATAGCTTCGTCACACACATAGGTAACATTCGTTTTTGCGGTCTTTATTTTACATGATGTGCTATGTGTTCCATCTTTCAAACTAAACCCGATTTCTATTAGCAAACACCTTCGCATCTCTAACTACACTACTATTTTCACGATTATTGCTTGTATGCTATAGGACCAATGATTAGGCAAGATGATTGGGATGGGAATTGAGCGAGAAGGACTCTACTACCTTGATGCTTCATAAAGAACGAGGTGTAATGCGATCACCACACCATTCTCTTCGACCTCGAGGCTTTGGCATTAACGCCTTGGCCATTTATCAAATAAGCCTTCCCATTTGCTCTCTCAATTTAATTTAAACATTAAGTATTATGACATTTCGATTATTCAATTTGTCCATTAACAAAGCAAACTCGTTCTTCTTTTACTTTAAGTTCTACTCGTACCAAAATACCTTTTGAATTGATCCATATTGATATTTGGGGAGGTTATCATATTCCTTCCATTACTAGAGCAAGATATTTTCTTACCATTATTGATGATTATACTCGTTGCGCTTGGATTTATTTGATGCATCATAAATTAAATACCTTAAGATACATTGCTATGTTCTTAAATTCTGTTGAAACATAATTTTTATTGAAAGTCAAAATTCTTCGAAGTGATAATGGACTTAAATTTACAATGAAAAATTTTTATTCGGAAAAAGGCATCATTCACCAATCTAGTTGTGTCTCTACCCCACAACAAAATGGAGTAGCTAGGAGGAAACATCGTTACCTCCTTAATGTAGCTCAAGCCTTATTATTTCAAGCCAATCTCTCTAAGTAATTTTGGGACAAAGCCATTTTGACTCGTTGCCTACCTCATTAACCGAACTCTCGTACCTCTTCTTTAAGGGAAAACACCTTTTGAATGGTTATTGCACAAACAACTTACATATGATCACTTACGAGTATTTGGTCGCTTGTGTTTTGGTTCCACATATCACCATCATCCTATAAAATTTGATTCTAGAGCCACAAAATTCATTTTCTTAGGATATCCTTATGCTAAAAAAGGATACAAATTTTATGATATCTTTAATGGTAATATTTTTTATTTCTCGTGATGTCATTTTTTATGAAAGTATCTTTCCTTCCCCATCCTCTCGTTGTCGTATTTCCTCTTATATCTCCATATTTACCACAATACGATGATGATGATAGACGTGCTCCACCAAAACTTAACAATACCGATGCATCTCCATCCGAACAAACAATACCTTCCCTTTCTAGTACCGACATTTCTCACCCGAACATCCTTCCCCTTCAAATGATGAACCCGTTCAAGACACACCTCCCCAACCACCACATCATTCCCCATGATTGACTCATTCCATAAAAGTTCCCGGGCACCTTCGTCGGTATCAAGTTGGTGCTTCTTTTCCCTCAAGAAAGGTTCTATCATCTCACTTAGTCTTGGTTCAAGCTACGTGTATTTGCCATCCCTTATCTAATGTACTTTTATATGATCTATTATCTCTTAAACACCATACTTTTACTATCTCTCTTTCAATAGAAAAAGAATCGTCCTCCTTTACACGAGTAATTTGTGATCCTAAATGGTGCCTTGCCATGCAACAAGAGTTGGATGCCCTCAACGCTAATGGCACATGGTCTTTGTAATTTTTACCACTTGGAAATAAGCCCATTGGATGTAAATGGGTAATAAGATCAAACTCAAATCGGATGGCTCTATGGAACGTTACAAAGCCGGACTAGTTGCCCAAGGATATAACTAAGTTGAAGGCCTTGATTACCAAGAGACTTTTACCCTAGTTGCAAAGCTTGTTATAGTTTTTCTTCTCCTTGCCGTGGCTTCCACCCATAGCTTTCACCTTCATCAACTTGACATCAATAATGCTTTCCTACATGGAGAGCTTGACGTCAATAGTATGCAAACTTTATAAATCATTGTATGGCCTCAAGCAAACTTTACGTCAATGGTTCCTTAAGCTTTTTTCTACCTTCAAGAAAGCTAACTTCAAGCAATCCAAAGGAGATTATTCTCTATTCGTTCGATCCCGTAATGGTAAATTCACTATTCTTCTTATTTATGTAGATGATCTCATTTTAGTAAGAAATGATCCACAAGATATTGAAGACACCAAGTTGTTTATGAGGCACTAATTCAAACTCAAAGACTTAGGGCGGTTGAAGTACTTTCTATGCATATAAGTTGCACGATTCAATAATGGCATCTCTCTATCACAACGAAAGTATGCACTTGAGATTTTTGAAGATATAGGGTACCGTGGAGCAAAACCAGACTTCATTTCCTATGGAGCAAAATATATCTCTCAATAGATTTAAAGGTGACTACATTAATGATCCATCTTCATACCGAAGGCTCATTGGATGGTTAACTTATTTAACTATTACATGACCCGACTTGACATTTACGAGTACATGTGTTAAGTTAATTTATGGACAAACCACGGGTATCACTCTTAGAAGCGACTCATCGTGTCTTACGATATGTAAAGCAAACACCAAGACAAGGCATTTTCTTTCCCACAACTACCTCAATTCAGCTTAAATGCCTTTTATGATGCATATTGGGCTAGGTATTGTGACACTCGAGGATAAATTATTAGGTACTACATATTTCTTAGAAGCTCATTAATCTCATGAAAGACCAAGAAATAAACATCGATATCACAATCCAGATGCGTAAGCCGAGTATCGATCTATGACCTCAACTTGTTGTGAAATTACATGGTTAAAGATGATCCTACAAGATTTGGGCATTGAACTTCACATCCTGTCAATCTATACTCGTGACAATCAAGTCGCACTTCACGTTGCTTCAAATCCGAGTTTACCATGAATGAACAAAACATATAGAAATTAATTGTCATGTTATACGAGAAAGGGTCCAAGAAGGATTGATCAAGATGGCTCATATATCCACATCAAACCAATCGGTAGATGTTTTCACAAAACCGTTGAGTTCTTCATATTTCTCAACTATACTCAACAAGTTAGGAATTATTAACATACCTTCTAAACTTAAGGGGGAGGTTAAGGAATGTGAATCAATATGTTAAGGAAGAAGATCAAGGAATTCAAGTGTATAATATCCAACCGATATGGATAGTCAACTATCCTTAATAGCACCTTGATCTTAAGATTGTAAATAGGAAACTAAATCCTATATGCTTTATTCTAGGAGTCAATATTAGTGTATATATTGTCTTATTACATCAATGAAATAAACACACGTAATTCCTTTTAACCTTTTTTTTTTTTTTTTTTTTCGAAGTAGCCATTACAAATGCTAGAGAAGGGCGCTTTTTCACTAGCTTATTAGAAAAGTCTCTAAAATCCTATCATACTTGCCCCATCAATCGGCTCAACTGTCTTGTTATTTTTCTTCAACTCTCTCGTGTTAATTCGCTTTAAACACTTCCCACTAATTGCCTAGTCTCTTAGCAATTCGGCTTGGAACTTTAATTATAATTTTCTTCCATTTGTTGTGTTTCATCCGAAGTCGGATTACAAGACTCTTCTTTGATTTATGGTAATTCAATGATCGATGGATATTTTGAATTAGATTGTTGTAAAAAGAGTTATGAAGATTGAAGAAATGAGAGAATTAGGGATGGAAAAAAAAAGAATGCAGGAAATAAAAATCAAGTTTGGTTTTTAGGTATGGATTTTTTGGTCATTTCACTATCACTTGTCTATCATGTGTGCCCGGATGTTGGTCAACGGGATTGCTTGATTTGATTATAAACTAAAAAATAGTTGTGGAAAAAAAAAGAATGCAAGAAAAAAAAATCAAGTTTGGTAATTTAATTTAGGTATGGATTTTTTGATCATTTCACTATCAAATGTTTTTCATGTGTGCCCGGATAATGGTCAACAAGATCGCTCGATTTGATTATAAACTAAAAAATAGTTATGGGAAAAAAAATCGAGTTTAGTAATTTAATTTAGGTATGGATTTTTTGGTCATTTCACTATCACATGTCTATTATGTGTGCTCGGATGTTGGTCAACGGGATCACTCGATTTGATTGCAAACTAAGAAATAGTTGTAGTATTCAAATTTGAAAAAAATTAAAATTGGAATATTAGTCAACATTTGATCGATAGTACATGATATTATTGAATCAATTAGCCATTTATAAATGGACTTTAAGCCTTAGCATTCTTTTTGTTTTTTCAAATGAGCTCTCATGGCCCAATGATATTTTAAATGAGAGATTAAGTTTTGTTTCAGTCTCCAAACCACTTTGTTTAACATTTGTTAGAAAATGTCCAATAATCAACTTATAATTTTGAATAGAAAAGAAAACATAAAAAAAAAACCTACATAAATAAATTCTTATAGACTAGAAATACGTAATAACCTCATTGCTATAAGGGCATACTAAAGTAGTTGTGCCTATTTTAGCTGTGTAAGTAATCTCTTTATTCCGAACATTTTGGACTAATATCAGTTTTTTTAATTTAATTTTTAAAAAAATTGAGTGGCGAGTTTATGTTTTTGAACCATATGTTTTTTCGATCGCCTAAATGTTACTGTGCCACATATAACATAAAAAGAAAATTACAAGGAGACGATGGTTTTTCGAATGTGAGAGAAAAAAAAAAAAAAAAAAGCACAAATCAGATGTGAAGAGGATCTTCTGATTACTGAGCTGGAAGTAAGTTGATGTAATCCAAAAATTGGACTAGTCCGATAAGCCCAGCAAACCTCAAGGTCATGTGTTGGTAGATTTAGTGGGCTTGCTGGCAAATTCAAGTCACCATCTAGATTATTGGTGAGTGGGGAAATGTGCTGTCAAATCAACTTCTTAATCTTATTTTTACATAATTATTTTACAGAATTTGTTTATAAAAAATATCATTCATTGATTTTACATATATACCATTTATATCTAAATTAATACGTTCACAAAAAAAAGGAAATATTTCTTAAAATCCTTATTAAGAAACAAATCATGAATAATAACTTGAGAAGCACATTCAATTTGTAACTAGTTTATGGCTGGAAGGGTTGAGGCATTTCATCGACATCATCATGCGATACTGCCACCATGCTTCATTGGGTTTGGTACACATCTTCTTTGCCACTAGTTGTGGACCAAATCGGACGTTCATTTTCATCTTTATTGCTGTCTGTTCAAATTTCATCGTACCATGCTGACCCACAACTGCATAATTTTTTGTTGTTGCAATGAATATGCCCCAAAAAATAGTGTACTCCGTAGGATAAATGAGCTTGGCCATTCTCATCCTAGGGCTGAAAATTTTCACAGAGTCAATTGTGGTTATCCTTTTTTATAAAGTTTTTTATATTCATCCTTACTTATCTTTCAATCTTTGTCACCATGAATAGTTTGATGATAAGAAGAGCGAGTGGAGTCAAATTATTCTCGGAAGCGTGCCAATGTTTTTGTACGACTAAAACCTAAAAAGAAGCCCTCTAATTTCGAGGACGGGCTAGTCTACAGACCTTAATTTTACTTAGAGAAGTTATTAGTTAAAAATAATAAAAAATTGGAGGTAACTCTCTTAACAATTATGACAGAAGCAGATGATGGAGGAACATTAATATAACGATGATGAATAACGTGGATCACTGCAAAGAACTTAAAACTTTATAAGAGAATTTGCAAACTGCAAATAGCTTTTAAAGCATTTTCTTAGATTTTAACGTACCTGAAATTTGTTAAGCTATAATTTCTAAGTAGTAAAAGGTAGATAATAACATTGCATGTTGATAAATTGGACGTTTCGAAGGGATTTTTGTGTTTCTTTTCATAAAAACAAAACATCAGGATAGATGGAATTGAATATGAGGTGCTTAAATAGAAATTTTATCCGAGATTAGGTACTAAATATGCCATTTTCTTTTTCTAAATTGTTTCCAACCTCAACCTAATTTTTTTCCACACAACACGAGATACTAAAGTACTTCACCTTAGGATAAAAAATAAGAATTTGAGAAACTCAAACAGGTAAAATTAAAGTTTAGATCTCCAAATAGAAATTTAATATACAATTATATTTATAAAAGAATGAAGAGCCATCTTTTTTACAATTCTTATGATTCTATTAATGCTGGAATTAATAATAACAATTTTTTGACGTTCTAATTATAATATTACTTAATTATTTAATTAGAAATTTAATATTATGGACACTTATGTATAGGCGTATCAAAGTCTGCTTTCTTTACATAGATAAGGAAGAAAGTTTTTTTTTTTTTTTTTTTTTTTCCTGTCAAATAATCATTGACCCTTTAATTTATAAGTTTAGTCCAGATCATAAAAACGAACCTCTAAAAATAACATCTTAGTTTCAAATTTTTTACTTTTTTTGTCCTTACTTTTACTGTAAGGTTTTATAGTAAATTTTTACAATTTAGATATAATGTTCAATCATCTTTAAAGTATACGTTCTTCTTATAAAAAAAAATTCAAAGAGAAAAAGTTAATAATTAAGTAAAAGTTTATAGCTATATTAATATAATATTTTGAGAATCTTAATTGTTTCAAATATTTTTTTATAAATATATAATTAATATTAAAGGTGACCTAATTAGGCTAATAAATTGTATTTGATAAAATCTATATATAATACTTTGAAATAATAGAATAATGAAAAATTAATTTACAAAATTATATACATGCCAAATGTATAAGCAATATAAAAAAAGTACTTAATTCTAGCATATTTAATTTATAATGATCTTTTCTATTTATTATAATATACTTATAATTTAAGTTTTGGCGTGACCCTCCTCTTTTATTCCAAAATTTGTATTTTCTTCATACCGCTACCTCCATGCATGCTTATCTAGTTTCAACAGGTTCCAATAAAATTCTTACTATAATTGATTTTTTTTTTATTATTCATTATGAAAATCTTTGTTTTGGCTGAAGATTCAAATAAAAAAATCAATTGTTAGTCTTTTAAAAAAAAAATACAATAGTCATGCAAGGATTTTTTTGGGAAGTAGCAGTTGCCCAGTGTTGGATTCTCAGTTCTCACTGCCTTTGACCAGTTTATACACATCTCTTTCACAGAGAAACAAACATGCTACATTGCTGCAAGGCAATGGAAGATAGCTACATCAAAATTTTAAAACTGCATGCTCAGCTTCTAGAACTTGGCTAGAAAATTAGTGAATCAAAACATTTAGAACCCAAATTCACCCACACTGCAAAAGCGTGTGTTAAGGCGAACCAGAGAAATAATTAAATGGTGCGTTATTATAGGCAAGGCTTATGTATAAATTTCACCCTTTCTAACTCAATATGCACGGTTCATCAGCTCTCGATATATCTTCGTTCCTTCCTCCTGTTAACACGCCATTATTCATCAGCCTATCGATCGAAACAATGTCGAAAAACTTGATGGTTTTTGGGCTTACCTTGATGGTGGTATGTGCATGTTTTGCACCAATTGTTGCTGGGGATGAACCTCCTACTATTGGCTATGGAGCTATAGGAAAAGGTGGCATTCCTGGATGCAGTCCAAAAAATCCCAACGCAAAGGCATGTAACAATGTACCTGCGAATCCATATGATAGAGGTTGTGAAAAGGAGAATCGCTGTCGAAATGGGAGAAAGTTACTCGGAGAAGACACAAAAGTCGATAATCTTGTATAACGCAGAGAGTATATTTTGTTCTGCTGCATAGTTATATGTATTAGAGCATATGCCTAGATTTTGACAGGATATTCGGTTCGCATACCAATGTAGTCGGTCGAGAACCGAGAAACATATGCTTGTTATTACATTAGAGAAATCAAGGAATATCATACTTGAGGAATTTCTTTTAGAGTGCCTGAGCTTTGATTAACATTGCATAATGCTTGGAACACAGGCTGTGTAGCATATATATTGACCTTATTTCTGTTGAAGATCTAAATTAGAAAACATATCTAAACAATGAAAAGACTTGAAAACTATTTCCAATTGTTAAAACTTGGAATTTCTACCATGAGGTCTTAGGTTCAAATATCGGTAGGGTAGATGGGAATTTGGGTTATTCGTCCTCCTGTAGAACCTGTAGAATGAGAGGGGGGGGGGGGGGGGGGTGTGGAACTATCCTGGAAAACTGATTTATTACCATAAGAAAAACAAGTAGAGAATGGTTAGAAGAGAGGGAAAAAAAAAGAAAAAAAAAGAGAGCACAAATCAGATGTGAAGGAAACGTCTAATCGCAAATGAAGCTGGAAGTAAGCAGACATTATCCAATATGTTGTAAATTGTCGTTATATTTTGGAAACCCTTCGCTATGGCTAAAATTGGACCAGTCCCCCGAAAGCCAATCAAACCTCAAGATAGTGCGTTGGTAGATTTAGTGGGCTTGTTGGCAAATTCAAGTCACCAGTCAAAATGCTTATTCCATGATGGGCTAGTATGCAGGCCCTTACTTGGGGAAGTTATCGGTTATAAAATAAAATAGTGCTACATGACATCAGTAATGTAAAAAAAAAAAAAATCATCATAATTTTATAAAGATAGTATTTTTCTGAATGATACAAGGGAGGAAAAAAATTTAAATATTTTATTTCAAGAGGTATTATGTCATTTAACTTTTTCACTTTTTAAATTTATTTTTAAAAACTTTTTATTTTTAGAAATAATGTCCGTTACCATGGTGTTGCCAAGCATTTCTCTACAAAATATTAACAAAAACAAACTACGAAAACTTACATATTTACTATTCATTTACTTTGTTTTAGATTTACATTTATTATTCATTATATTACTTGATTTTTTGCTTCCTATCTTTTCGTTAATTTCTCTTTTGTCACTCAATCGATTTGAGAAACTTCATTTTTATCCTTGACTCGATTCTCTTTTTAATTTTCTTTTTGAGGCTTTTTTTTCATATTTTTTTTAGATTGAGCATTTAATGCTCCGTCTTCTTTCAATGCCTTTTTTTTTTGTAGAAAAGCCAAAGTCACTTGCTATTCAAGAATAATTATAAATTAGTCCCTCTTTCTTCGAAAAACAAATAAATTAATCCATTTGGTTCAAAAATTAAATTTTTTATCCTTTTTACTATTTCAATGTTTTTATTTATTTATTTTAAGAAATAAAAAAATAAGCAAAAATTATGAAAAAAGACATTTTATAAAATAAAAATAAATTATTCTTGGTCAACACCGATTAAAAAAATTAAATAGTTTATTTTTGAAACAAAAAGAATTAATTAATCCATTTCTCAAAACGAGATGAACTAATTTATTATTTATTTTGCAATTTAAGAATCTCTTTCATTATAAATTAAGAAGTAGAATTTATGGAAACCAATTTTATAGTAGTTTTTATTTCAATTTATTGACTTTAATACATTTATCGAAGTTAGATATTTTTAAAAAAAATTATACTATATACTATGAATTTACTATATATATATATATATATATATATATATATGTATGTATGTATGTATAGTTTTGTTGAAAATTAGTTATATCTCTCGCACACATAACACTAATTATTTGTTATTTATTCTTTTTTATGTTTTAAATCTATATTTTTAAATAAAATAATTGAAATAATGTTTTGAAAGAACATTTCAATTATACAAATAGAACTTTTCATACTAATATTATTGATTATTTTGTTAATAAATATATATAAATCAAACGATTTTGCCAAGCAAATAGATTTGATTTATATTACTTCGTACAAATAAAATTTTTACTCACACTACGCCATACGAATCGTTGATCCTACGTATATAATGGTTAGCCGACCGCAACATAGCACAAATATCCAATTATTAAACACCTAGAACTTAACTCTCCTAACAATAGGGATGAAGCCACAATGATGAAGCATTAGTATAACAAGTGTAGACAATGTAGATAAAAAAATGAACATTTTTTAAATATTTGTTCAATAAAAGTATCAACGTCACATATTTTCATATAATTTTAACGATAAACAAATAATTAAAAGGTATTTCAATCTTTTAGATAATATAAGATTACTTATAATTTAAAAACATTCTAAGAACATGGGACATCGATTATCTTTTATTTGTTATTATTTGATGTAGACACTTTTATTGAATTAATACTTAAAAGAGAGTATCGAAAAACTCGTTATTAGCATCGCTTCATAGGCTATTACCATAGAATTCAAGACTATAAATAAAAGTTAAAGTAGAAAGAAAAACACACATCAATACAACAACAATTGAATACGATAAGAAGAACAATACACATCAACACAATAGTAACTCGAATTTGGAAACTACAAACGAGTTGTCAAAACATCAAGTTTTAACACATTAAAAGCTTATTAGGCTATAAATTATAAAAAAATAGTAAGTTAATAACACCGTAGGCTAATAGATTTGTAAGTTGGTAAATTGTTCACTTAGCTCATATTCTAAAATCAAATTCGTGTCTATACTCCTCAAAAATTAAATTCTTATGCGAACGTCATATCTAGAGAAGAAGAAAAAGCTAAAACTAACTTTTCTAACAATAAAAAATGAAGTAGATGAAGGTGAAACGTGAATATAAGAAGGGTGGGCAACATGAAGTAGATGATGATGGAACATGAATATGACAAGGGTGGACAACATGGATCGCTACAGAGAACATGGAGCAATATTAAGGGACCAAAAGACTATAAATAAAATTTGTTGTGGGGGAGAAGAACAAACATCAACACAATAACACTTGAAATGCAAATTGCATATAGCTCTCTCGAAACACTCTTTCAAATTTCAGTACATTTGAAACTTGTTAGGTTATAACTTGTAAGCAATATTAAGTAGACAATAATCAAAGTACATAGTAATATTATAGGTTGGTAGATAAGGAACAAATTTTTTTTTCCCAAATAATCATTGACACTTTAATTTATAAGTTTAGTACTTCGATCACAAAAATGAAACTCTAAAAATAACATCTTAGTTTCAATTTTTTATTGTTTTTGTCCTTTCTATTATTGTAAGGTTTTATAGTAAATTTTTACAATTTAGATATATAATGTTCAATCATCTTTAAAGTATACGTTCTTCTTACAAAAACATTTTCAATGAGAAAAAATAAAAAAGTAAAAGTTTATAGCTATATTAATATAATATTTTGAGAATCTTAATCGTTTTAAATATTTTTTAAAATATATAATTAATAATAAAGATGATCTCATTAGGCTAATAAATTGAATTTGATAAAATTTATAAATAATACTTTGAAATAATAGAATAATGAAAAATTAATTTACAAAATTATATATCTGCCAAATATATAAGCAATATAAAAAAACTGTAATTAATTTTAGCATATTTAATTTATAATGATCTTTTCTATTTATTATAATATACTTGTAATTTAAATTTTGGAGTGACACTACTCTTTTATTCCAAAATTTGTATTTTTTCATACCGCTCCATGCATGCTTATCTAGTTTCAACAGGTTCTAATAAAACTCTTATTATAATTGATTTGTTTTTATTCATTATGAAAATCTTTGTTTTGGCTGAAGATTCAGATTAAAAAAAAAAAAAAAATCAATTGTTAGTCTTAAAAAAAAAAAAAAATACAATAATCATGCAAGGATTGTTTTGGGAAGTAGCAGTTGCCTAGTGTTGGATTCTCAGTTCTCACTGCCTTTGACCAGTTTATGCACATCTCTTTCACAGAAAAACAAACATGTTACATCGCTGCAAGGCAATGGAAGATAGCTACATCAAAATTTTACAATTGCATGCTCAGCTTCTAGAACTTGGCTAGAAAATTATTGAATCAAAACATTTAGAACCCAAATTCACCCACACTGCAACAGCGTGTGTTAAGGCGAACCAGAGAAATAATTGAATGGTGCGTTATTATAGGCAAAGCTTATGTATAAATTTCACCCTTTCTAACTCAATATGCACGGTTCAATATATCTTCATTCCTTCCTCCTGTTAGCACACCATTATTCATCAGCCTATCGATCGAAACAATGTCGAAAAACTTGATGGTTTTTGGGCTTACCTTGATGGTGGTATGTGCATGTTTTGCACCAATTGTTGCTGGGGATGAACCTCCTACTATTGGCTATGGAGCTATAGGAAAAGATGGCATTCCTGGATGCAGTCCAAAAAATCCCAACGCAAAGGCATGTAACAATGTACCTGCGAATCCATATGATAGAGGTTGTGAAAAGGAGAATCGCTGTCGAAATGGGAGAAAGTTACTCGGAGAAGACACAAAAGTCGATAATCTTGTATAACGCACAGAGTATATTTTGTTCTGCTGCATAGTTTTATGTATTTTATAGCATGCTGAACTAAAGCATATGTCTTGATTTTTGACAGGATATTCGGTTCACAGACCAATGTAGTCGGTCGAGAACCGAACAACATATGCTTGTTACTACATTAGAGAAATCAAGGAATATCATACTTGAGGAATTTCTTTTAGAGTGCCTGGGCTTTGATTAACATTGCATAATGCTTGGAACAAAGGCTGTGTAGCATATATATTGACCTTATTTCTGTTGAAGATCTAAAGTAGAAAACATATCAAAACAATGAAAAGACTTGAAAACTATTTACAATAGTTAAAACTTGGAATTTCTACCATGAGGGCTTAGGTTCAAATATCGGTAAGGTAGATGGGAATTTGGGTTATCCATCCTCCTGTAGAATGAGAGGGAAAAAAAGGGGGAAAAAAAAACCTGGAAAACTGATTTATTACCATAAGAAAAACAATTAGAGAATGGTTAGAAGAGAGGGAAAAAAAAACACAAATCAGATGTGAAGGAAACGTCTAATCGCAAATGAAGCTGGAAGTAAGCAGACATTATCCAATATGTTGTAAATTGTCATTATATTTTTGAAACGCTTCGTTATGCCCAAAAATTGGACCAGTCCCCAAAGCCATTCAAACCTCAAGGTAGTGTGCTGGTAGATGTAGTGGGCTTGTTGGCAAATTCAAGTCACCAGTCAAAATGCTTATTCCATGATGGGCTAGTATGCAGGCCCCTTACTTGGGCAAGTTATCAGTTACAACATATTAACAAAAACAAACTATGAAAACTTACATATTTATTATTCATTTACTTTGTTTTAGACTTAGGTTTATTATTTATTATATTACTTGATTTTTTATTTTTTATCTTTTCGTTAATTTTTCTTTTACAACTCAATAGATTTGAGAAACTTCATTTTTATCCTTGACTGATTCTCTTTTTAATTTTTTTTTGGAGCTTTTTTTCATCATTTTCCTTTTTTTTTTAGATTGAGCATTTAATGCTCTGTGTTCTTTTAATATTTATTATTCATTTACTTTGTTTTAGATTTAGGTTTATTATTCATTATATTACTTGATTTTTTACTGCTTATCTTTTCGTTAATTTCTTTTTTGGCACTCAATGCATTTGAAAAACTTCATTTTTATCCTTATTATGACATGATTATTATTCATCTTCTTCCACACAGTCCTCTTCCTCAACGGATTACTCAGCACACGTTTCCTCTACATCACAGACTGATGTTGCTACACACGGCTCTAGGTCTCCTGCTGTCACTTGCCTTCCTACCTCTAATGCTACTGTCGTGAGTGAGTCTTCCAGCTCATCACGCTTATCTTCTAAGTCTGCTTGCTTATCCAAATCATTGCTATAATAGGTTGTTAGATAACTTAGGTAGACTTCTTGTACAAGACATACTATATGTGTATATAAACATTGTATCATCAATGTTTATATACATCCCTTTGGTATCAGAGCATAAAAGGCATCACTGCCATCTCCTCTCCTTCAACATCCCTTTTTTTTTCCTTCCCACACGCTACTGCCCACTGTTGCGTTTCTTTTGCTTCCTTTCCAGCTACTGCCTACTGTTGTGTTTTCTTACCTATACATCAACACTAAGATGACAACCTCTAACAATACCTTATCTCCCATTAATACTATTGCAACTACTGCAAATCATCTCACCTCCTCTATTCAATTAACCCCCTTAAACAGCTCTCACCACTTTCTATCTCTGAAACTAACACACACCAATTTTCTCTTATGGTATGTTCAGCTCAAACCCTTTCTCATTGGTCAAGGGCTCTATGGCTTCATTGATGGATCACATCAATGCCCCTTAGACACCTTACTAATGTTGAAATAAGCACCTCCCAAATTAACCCAACCCATCTTCCCTGGATACAATAGGATCAACTCCTCATAAGTACCATTATGTCTTCCTTCTCACCTGATGTCCCCCTATAATTATTGATTGTACCACCTCCCAAGAGATCTAGTTTGCCCTTGACCAAGCTCTTGCCTCTCCCTCCAATACCCAAATCATGTCCCTCCATCTTGGATTACAAAACCTCTACCAAGAGCCCATAGAATCTGTCTCCCAATTCTTACACTCTGCAAAAACATACAGCGATGAACTCTATACAACTGGTTAGCCCTTCTCCTATTTGACTTCAACCTCTATATCTTTAAGGGGTTGTCTAAAAACTTCAAAGATATCATCACCTCCCTTACCACTAAAGCTGAACCCTTTAACTTTACTGATTTACATAGTTTTCTTGTTAGCCATGAGTTCCTCAACCATGAAACCTTCCTTGCTCACTCCTCCATGACAGCTTTGGGTTGCTACCCACTCTGCCTACTGCAAACCTCTTACATAAAACCCATAGCATCATCCTTGATCGTTCTCATGCCTACAACTGTGGTAGAGGTAGGTCCTTTCGAGGGAGAGGACGTGGAAGATCCAACACTATGTATGGTAACTATGCATCATCTGATAGTATAGGACCTTGGCCCCAATATGATAGCCCCACCAAGTGCCAAATTTGCTCTTCTTGGCATCATACCTCTGTCCACTGTCCTCAAAGACACAGTAATCATGCTCCGCCTTCAGCAAATCTAATTAATGAATCATCCTCCACCCATTGGATCCTCTCTTGGTGCCCTGACATTGGTGCCTCCCAACATGTGACACCTGACTTGCCAAGCTTCAACACTTATGAACCATACCAAGGACCAGATCATCTCCAAGTTGGCAATGGTGAGTTCCTTTCCATAAAACATATTGGTACATGTCACATTAAAAAACCAACCCGAAACTTACAGCTCCTTAATGTTTTGCATGTTCCCAAAAAATCACTAGACCATTACTTTATGTTCAACAATTAACATGTGATAATAATGTGTTTTGGGAGTTTCACCCTTTTGCTTTTTATCTAAAGGATCAGGTATACAAGACATCAATTCTTTCAGGGCAGAGTGATGTTGATCTATACAAGTTAACCCCTCCATCCGCTCAAGTCCACATTGCCATTGTCTCTGCAAATGTGTGGCACTCTAGATTGGGTTACCCCCATCGTAGGGTGTTGAATTCAATTTTAAAAAGACGCTCATTATCTTCTACTTCAAAATTATTTAGTTTTGTTTATCTTGTCCCTTAGGGGAAGCAAAATGCCTATCTTTATCTTCTTCCAAAAACACTAGTTCTAGAGTCTTAGATTTAATCTTTAGTGGTGTATGGGCTCCTTCTCCTATTATGTTCATTGAAGGACATACATATTATGTTATTTTTATTGATCACTATTCAAAATATATTTGATATTTTTCTCTATAAAAAAAATCTAATACGTTTTACACTTTTCTTAAATTTAAAAAATGGTTGAACGATAATTTATTTGTCATATTAAACAAGTTCAAATTGATTAGGATGGCAAATTTTACATATCAAATAAATTTTTTCACTTTATTGGCATTATTCATCGTATTATATGCCCTTATACACATGAACAAAATGAAATAGTTGAAAGATGACACTACCATGTTGTGGCAACGTCTCACCTTACTAGATGAAGCTAGTGTCCCTAAAAATTTTTGGCATTTTGCTTTTGAAACAGCTGTCTTTCTCATAAATCATCTACCCTTAAGTGTCACCATGCATAAATCTCCATTTCAAATAGTTTTTAAAAAACCTCCAGACTATTCATTCTTGAAATTTTTTGGTTCTCTCTACCTTCCCTTTCTACGTCCGTACAAAAATACAAAATGGATTTTCACTCCATCCCGTGTGTTTTCCTTGGATATAGCCTTACCTATTTGGGGTATCGTTGTCTTGACACAAAAACTCATGGCATTTATATTGCTTGTCATGTCTAGTTTATTGAGTTAATCTTCCTTTTTGTAAAACACACCACTGCTTCCGTCCAAGCTCCCTCTCCTTTTTCCCCTTTGATATGTTTTCCAGTTCACTCTCATGTTGTTTCTTGTGTAGGTCCACATCACTCTGTGCCGCCTTAGTCCCTGCTCCTGTGCTCCAGCCTCAAAATGCACTTACTGCACCACACAAAGCTACTGCCCCATAATTGCTACTGCCCTATCCACCCCCTACTAACACCCCTATCCACACCCAGTCAACCATAAAATTCCAGACCTGACATGCCCAGCTAATAGCCTGCCCCAACTCCAATCGTCCAGCAACCATTCACGCCCACAACGTCCACCCCACCCAGCAACCAGCAATCACAGACGCATAAAACCATCGCCCAACCTGACCCCCTCACAGCTACCTAATAATAATCCCACCACAGACTCCCCATCCAACTCCCGTTCCCCTATCTTTTCAACAAATTCAGACTGCCCTGCACCGTCAACTTCACAATCCTCAAGTGATCTCCACCTTGTCCTAAACCTCAGTGGCTATAACTTAGCAAACTCCAACACCCAAAATAACCCTGCCCCTGAACCACCCCGCACTCACCCAATGATAACCCGTGGCATGACCAAATCATCTAAACCCAAGGTCTATGTCGCCATTGCCAAACCTAGGGTACCTAAAGCTCCTTCTTGCTTTTCAGAAGCACATCGACACTTACCATGCCGTGAGGCCATGGTAGCTGAAATCTTTGCTCTTCTCCATACAGGAACTTGGTCTTTGGTTCCTCCTTCTCCTTCAATGAATGTCATAGGCAGTAAATAGGTCTTCAAGACCAAAAAATAGGCAGATGGAAGCATTGAAAGATACAAGGCTCGTTTTGTTACAAAGGGTTACAATCAACAGGAAGGAGTGGATTATGGTGAAACATTTAGCCTGGTGGGGAAACCCATAACTATTCGATGTGTACTGGCCTTAGCTGTGTCTTTTGGTTAGAAAATCCAACAGTTAGATGTTCATAATGCATTCCTTAATGAGACTCTAACTGAATCAGTTTATATGACTTAACCAACGGGGTTTGTGGATGCTAAGTACCCCAATCATGTCTGCCATCTACACATATCACTTTATGGGTTAAAACAGGCACTTAGAGCTTGGTTTTCATGTCTCACAGATTTCTTGGTTGATTTTAGGTTTACAGGTTCAAAGACGGACAACTCACTCTTCATCTTCAACTCTACTGGTTATAGGGTTTTCTTGCTAGTTTATATAGATGACATAATCATTATAGGGAATAATCCTTCTTTTTGCAAATTTGCCATAAGAAATCTTGATCCTGTAAACTTCTTTCTAGGTATTGAGGTCATCCACACAAAAAATGGTATTCTATTATCCCAATAACAATTTATTTAGGATTTGCCTTCCAAGTATAGGATGACTGATTGTAATTCGATCTCTACTCCAATGCCAACGACTTCCAAACTTAGCATGCAATCTGCTGTCGCATTTGAGGATGTGACTTTATATAGGTAGGTTATTGGAGCTCTACACTATGTCATACTCACAAGACCAGACATTATATTTGCAGTAAACAAGGTTTGTCAGTTCATGCATGCTCCCACTATCGACCATTGGATTGCTGCCAAACGAATCCTCTGGTACCTCAAAAATACAGCATCTCTTAGTCTTCACCTTGGCAAGCATGCGTCTTGCACCCTCATAGGTTTTTCAGGTTCTGATTGGGCTGGCTCTATGGATGACAAAAAGTCTACTGGTGGTTATACTATCTACCTTAGCCCGAATTTAATCTCATGGAAATCGTCTGAACAGAAGACTGTTGCGAGAAGCTCCACTGAAGCAAAGTACAAGGCTGTTGCTGATCTAGTAGCTGAAATGACTTGGATTCGGTCACTTCTTGGTGAACTTAGGGAGGTCTTGACATCCAAACCAATTATTTGGTGTGACAGTAAAGGGGCTACATATCTGGCTGTCAATCCATTATTCCACGCCCAGAAAAAGCACAGCGAAATTTACTTCCATTTTGTTAGGGATATGGTCTCACAGGGGAGCCTTCGAGTTCTCTTCATTTCTAGCCAAGATCAAATTCCTGATATCTTAACCAAATCGTTGTCCACTTCTCGATTCACATTTCTACGTGACAAACTCTCTGTGGGTGAAAGACCATATTTGGTTTGTGGGGGAGTATTAAGATGTGATTCTTATGCATCTTCTTCCACCCACTCCTTTTCCTCCACGAATTACTCTACACATGTTTCCTCTACATCACGGACTAACGTTGCTACACATGGCTCTAGGTCTCCTACTGTCACTTGCCTTCCTACTTCTAATGCTACTACTTTGAGTGAGTCTTCCAGCTCATCACGCTTTGTTAGATAACTTAGGTAGACTTGTTGTACAAGATGTACTATATGTGCATATGAACATTATAAGAACATTATATCATCAATAATAAGTGAGAGAGAAAATATTCCACAAAATATCATGCTTGCATTGCCGTGTTTCTAATTATCCTTAACCGATTCTCTTTTTAATTTCCTTTTTGAGCTTTTTTTCAATCATTTTGTTTTTTAGATTGACCATTTAATGCTGTCTTCTTTCAATTTTTTTTTCTTATTTTCGATAGGGAAGCCAAAGTCACTTGCTATTCAAGAATGATTATAAATTAGTCTATCTTTCTTCGAGAAACAAATTAATTAGTCTCGCTTGGTTCAAAAACTAATTTTTTTTTATCCTTTTTACTATTTTAATGTTTTTATTTTTTGTTTTAAGAAATAAAAAATAAGTAAAAATATGAAAAAAGATACTTTATAAAATAAAAAATAAATTATTCCTGGTCAACATTGATTAAAAAAATTAAACAATTTATTTTTGAAACCAAAAGAATTAATTAATTCATTTTTCAAAACAAGATGAACTAATTTATAATTTAATTTACAATTTAAGAATCTCTTTCATTATAAATTAAGAAGTAGAATTTATGTGAACTAATTTTGTAGTTGTTTTTATTTCAATTTATTGACTTTAATATATTCAATACAAATTAGATATATATTTTTTAAAAAATATTTCTATTATATACTACGAATCTACTATATATATATATATATATATATATATATATATATATATATATATATATATATATATATATATATATATATATATTGTTAAAAATTAGTTATGTATCTGCATATATAACACCAATTATACATTATTTATTCTTTTTGTCGTTCTAAATCAATATTTTTTAAATAAAATAATTGAAATAATGTTTTGAAAAAAACCTTTTAATTATTCAAATACAACTTTTCATATTAATATTATTGATTATTTTGTTAATAAATAGATATATAAATCAAACAATGTTGCTTAGCAAATAAATTTGATTTATATTAATTACGAGAAATAAGATTTTTATCCATACTACATCATACAAATCGTTGATCCTACATATATAACAATTGTCCGACCGCAGATGTAGCACGGGTATCCAATTAGTAAACACCTAGAACTTAACTCTCCTAACAATAGGGATGAAGCCATAATGATGAAGCGTCGGTATAGCAAGCGTAGACAATGTAGATCAATACAATGAACGTTTTTTTAAATATTTGTTCAATAAGAGTATCAACGTCACATGTTTTCATATCATTTTAAAGATAAAAAAATAATTAAAAGGTATTTTAGTCTTTTGGATAATATAAGATTACTTATAACTTAAAAACTTCTAAGAACATTGGACATCGGTTATTTTTATTTGTTATTATTTGATGTAGACACTTTTATTAAATAAGTGTTTAAAAGAGAGTATTAGAAAGAGTGTTAATAACACTCCTTCATAGAGTATTACCATAGAACTCAAGACAATAAATACAAGTCATAGTAGAAAGAACAACACACATCAATACAACAACAATTGAATGCGGTAAAAAGAACAATACACATCAACACAATAGCAATTGAATTTAGAAACTAAAAACAACTATCGAGTATGTCGAGTTTTAACACATTAAAATCTTATTAGGCTATAAATTATAAAAAATAGCAAGTTAATAACATTGTAGGCTAATAGATTTGTAAGTTGGTAAATTGTTCACTTAGCTCATATTCTAAAATCAAATTCGTGTCTATACTCCTCAAACATTAAATTCTTATGCGAACGTCATGTCTAAAGAAGAAGAAAAAGCTTAAACTAACTTTTCTAGCAATCAGAAATCAAGTAGATGAAGGTGAAACGTAAATATAAGAAGGGTGGGCAACACGAAGTAGATGATGATGGAACATGAATATACCAAGGGTGGACAACATGGATCGGTGCAAAGAACATGGAGCAATATTAAGGGACCAAAAGACTATAAATAAAATTTGTTGCTGGGAGAACAACAAACATCAACAGAATAACACTTGAAAAGCAAATTGCAGATAGCTCTCTCGAAACACTCTTTCAAATTTCAATACATTTCAAATTTGTTAGCTTATAACTTGTACGCAGTATTAAGTAGACAATAATCAAAGTATATAGTAATATTATAGGTTGATAGATAAGGAAGAATTTTTTTTTTTTTTTTTGCCAAATAATTATTGACTCTTTAATTTATAAGTTTAGTACTCCTGATCACAAAAATGAACCTCTAAAAATAACATCTTAGTTTCAATTTTTTACTGTTTTTGTCCTTACTATTATTCTAAGGTTTTATAGTAAATTTTTACAATTTAGATATATAATGTTCAATCATCTTTAAAGTATACGTTCTTCTTATAAAAACATTTTCAATGACAAAAAATAAAAAAGTAAAAGTTTATAGCTGTATTAATATAATATTTTGAGAATCTTAATTGTTTTAAATAATTTTTTTTAAAAAATATATAATTAATAATAAAGATGACCTCATTAGGCTAATAAATTGAATTTGATAAAATTTATATATAATACTTTGAAATAATAGAATAATGAAAAATTAATTTACAAAATTATATATCTGCCAAATATATCAGCAATATAAAAAAATTGTACTTAATTTTAGCATATTTAATTTATAATGATCTTTTCTATTTATTATAATATACTTGTAATTGAAGTTTTGGTGTGACACAACTCTTTTATTCCAAAATTTGTATTTTCTTCATACCGCTCAATGTGTGCTTATCTAGTTTCAACAGGTTCCAATAAAATTCTTATTATAATTGATTTGTTTTTATTCATTATGAAAATCTTTGGTTAGGCTGAAGATTCAGATAAAATAATAATAATGATAATAATAATCATGCAAGGATTTTTTTGGGAAGTAGCAGTTGCCTAGTGTTGGATTCTCAGTTCTCACTGCCTTTGACCAGTTTATGCACATCTCTTTCACAGAAAAACAAACATGTTACATTGCTGCAAGGCAATGGAAGATAGCTACATCAAAATTTTACAATTCCATGCTCAGCTTCTAGAACTTGGCTAGAAAATTAGTGAATCAAAACATTTAGAACCCAAATTCACCCACACTGCAACAGCGTGTGTTAAGGCGAACCAGAGAAATAATTGAATGGTGCGTTATTATAGGCAAAGCTTATGTATAAATTTCACCCTTTCTAACTCAATATGCACGGTTCAATATATCTTCATTCCTTCCTCCTGTTAGCACACCATTATTCATCAGCCTATCGATCGAAACAATGTCGAAAAACTTGATGGTTTTTGGGCTTACCTTGATGGTGGTATGTGCATGTTTTGCACCGATTGTTGCTGGGGATGAACCTCCTACTATTGGCTATGGAGCTATAGGAAAAGATGGCATTCCTGGATGCAGTCCAAAAAATCCCAACGCAAAGGCATGTAACGAAGTACCTGCGAATCCATATGATAGAGGTTGTGAAAAGGAGAATCGCTGTCGAAATGGGAGAAAGTTACTCGGAGAAGACACAAAAGTCGATGTTCCCATCAATCTTGTATAACGCACAGAGCATATTTTGTTCTGCTGCATAGTTTTATGTATTTTATAGCATGCTGAACTAAAGCATATGTCTTGATTTTTGACAGGATATTCGGTTCACAGACCAATGTAGTCGGTCGAGAACCGAACAACATATGCTTGTTACTACATTAGAGAATTCAAGGAATATCATACTTGAGGAATTTCTTTTAGAGTGCCTGGGCTTTGATTAACATTGCATAATGCTTGGAACACAGGCTGTGTAGCATATATATTGACCTTATTTCTGTTGAAGATCTAAAGTAGAAAACATATCAAAACAATGAAAAGACTTGAAAACTATTTACAATAGTTAAAACTTGGAATTTCTACCATGAGGGCTTTGGTTCAAATAGAGAAGCATCAATCTTTAATTGGTATGAAAAAAAAAATTAAAAGCATCCGTCTTTAGTTTTTTTCTTTCTTCGTTTACATTCTTTCAAATAACTCAAGAGTCAAAAATAATTTTTTTTAAATTATGCACACGTACTGTTAAAATATTAATGCACAAAACTATATGGATTGGGTTGCCGAAATGTTAGAACTTTGTTGTGCTGTCTGATGCTGGCGGTGTATATACCTGTCATCGGCCACTAGGCCAATAATTATGTTTTCCTTGAAGGCCTCGTAACTCCCTCTTATGGTCTTCTTAAACTGGTCTGATAGCACTTTTCAGTTGTCACAAGGGATTAATGCATAAATAATCCCTGAACTTTCTCAACATTGATACATCAGTAACATTAGTGATAGCGTTTGGATCGAGGAACAACTACGTGATTGGAGAAGATTAGAAGTGTACGAACATCAAGGTTTGATTATTTCAGGAAAAATAAATGGTTTTATGCCGTAGGGTAGATGGGAATTTGGGTTATTCATCCTCCTGTAGAAAAAAAAAAAAAAAAAAAAAAAGAAGAAGAAGAAGAAGCCTGGAAAGCTGATTTATTACCATAAGAAAAACAAGTAGAGAATGGTTGGAAGAGAGAAAAAAAAAAAACACAAATCAGATGTGAAGGAAACGTCTTATCGCAAATGAAGCTGGAAGTAAGCAGACATTATCCAATATGTTGTAAATTGTCATTATATTTTGCAAACACTTCGTTATGCCCAAAAATTGGACCAGTCCCCAAAGCCAATCAATCCTCAAGATAGTGTGTTGGTAGATTTAGTGGGCTTGTTGGCAAATTCAAGTCTCTAGTCAAAATGCTTATTCCATGATGGGCTAGTATGCTGGCCCCTTACTTGGGGAAGTTATCAATTACAAGATATTAACAAAAACAAAATTACATATTTACTATTCATTTACTTTGTTTTAGATTTAGTTTATTATTCATTATATTACTTGATTTTTTACTTCCTATCTTTTTGTTATTTTCTCTTTTACCACTCGATGGATTTGAGAAACTTCATTTTTATCCTTGACTGATTCTCTTTTTAATTTACTTCATGAGCTTTTTTTTATTGTAGATATAATAAGTCAATTATAAGGATGATTGAGGAGCTGATTTCTAGGAAGTTAATGATAGTTTGATTCTAGGGATTTAGATTTATCATAAACCTATATATATACATGATGCACTCATGCATTTCAATAAATGAAATATATTATTCTATTCTCATATTTCTATATGGTATCAAAGCATGTTGCCCTAATTGAGTAATTGTTGCTATTGCCCTAATGAGCTATCACTTTTTTTCTCTTTTTTCTACTCGCCCTAATGAGTCGATGTGACCTTGCTATCTTATTTTCTTCCTTTCTTTTTTAATGGTTGATGAAACGAAAAGAAAATTATGATTTCGATGTTGTTACGAGTTCATATCGTAAACTTTGCAGCCCAAGAGGCTAGTCCTACCTCTTCCTCATCCGAAAAGTTTATAATGGTATATGCTAATGACTTTGCTCGGCTTACTCGATATCAATCCTTGCTAAAGTCTTTCAATCCGCCTCCAACTATCGGTGGTGAGACAGTAAACCTACTACATGTTTTGCGTCATCCTCTTCCAAATGGGTCATTGATTCGAGCGTTACGGATCTCATGACGAGCAATAAAGATATTCTCTCCTCCTTCTTTTCACACAAAAATCTTCCTAATGTCACTCGGCTAATGGGTCAACCACATCCGTTGTAGGAATTGGAACAACTTTTCTTACATCATCTCTCTCATTGTCATCCGTGGTTGTACTATTGTCTATTTCAAGATCTTACGTCGAGAAAGATTATTGGTAGAGGACATGAGTCCGAAGGGCTATATCATCTTCAACCTATATCATAACCTATACCACAACCTATCACTTGTTCCAATATTATAACACCTTCGAGTTGCATTGTCGGTTAGGGCATCCTTCTTTGTTTGTTTTAAAGAAATTATTTTCTCGCTTTTAGAATTTTTCTACTTTAGAATATGAGTCATGTCAATTTGCTAAACACCATCGTGTGTCTTATTTCCTAGAGCCAATAAATAGGTTCTATCATCCTTTGAGTTAGTTCATTTCGATGTTTGGGGTCCTTGTCTAGTGACTTTTACAACTAGTTTTCGATATTTTATCACATTTATTGATGACTATTCTTGTGTTGCTTGGTTATATTTTATGAAAAGTTGATCTGAATTGTTCTCTATATTTCATGCTTTTTGTATTGAAATTCGAACTCAATTTAATGTTTCAATACATGTTTTGAGGAATGATCATGCAAAAGAGTATTTCTCTCGAGTCATTCAATACCTATATGACACAAAATGGAATTCTTCATCAATCATCATGTGTTGACACACTACCTCAAAATGATGTTGCTCGAACGAAAAAATAGACATTTACTAGAGGTTGCTTAGAGCCCTTCTTTTTTATATGAAAGTTCCTAAACAATTTTGGGATGATGCTCGTGTCTACAACATGTTTCTTAATCAATCAATTACCCTCTTCCGTTCTTTCCGGTGATACTCCTCATTCCGTTTTATTCCCTCCTTAGTCTTTATTTCCAATCGAACCACATGTCTTTGGTTGTACGTGTTTTATTCATGATGTTAATCCCAAAATATTTAAGTTAGATAAAAAAATCTCTCAAATGTGTCTTTTTAAGGTATTCTCGTCTTCAAAAATGTTGAAGGTGTTATTCTTCTACTTTGGGTCGTTATTTGGTTTCAATTGCTCGTAACATTTTTTTAGACTACTCTATTTTTTCATGAACCTACTACGTATAATTATGAGGGGGAGGAAGATGATATTCTCATATATACTCGTGACTACAACTATTGAATCTCATATACCCATTAAGCCATCTATCACCTAAGTTTACTCTCATCGTATTCATCTACGAGATCTATAACTAAATCGAGACTCGTATCCTCTCGTCGGCTCTTCCCTCTACGAGTCCTAATCTTGATCTTCCCATTGCCCTTCGTAAAGGTAAACAACAATGTTCTTATCCTATCTCTTCATTTGCTTCTTATAACCACTTGTCTCCTTTTTTACACTCGCTTTATTGCTTTGTTAGATTCGATTTCTATACCTAAAATATTACATGAGGCCCCGTCCCATCCCGTTAATGGACTCGTTATAGAGGAGGAAATGATGGCTTTAGATGGTAATGGTACTTAGGAATTGATGCATCTCTCAAAAGGTAAACAAACCATTGGTTGTAAATGGGTATATGTTATCAAGGTTAATCCCGGTGATTATGTGGCTCATCTTAAAGAGTGCTTAGTTGTGAAAGGATATGCTCGGACATATGTTGTAAATTATTCGATACGTTTTCTTCGGTTGCTAAACTTGTAGTCGTTCATTTTTTTATCTCTCGTTGTCTGCTATTAATGGTTAGCTCTTACATCGCTTAGATGTCAAGAATGCTTTTCTTTATGGTGATTTATAGGAGGAAGTCTATATGGAGCAACCACCGGGGTTTGTTGCTCGGGGGAGTATGGTAAAGTCTCGTAAACTTTGGAGGTCGTTGTATGGGTTAAAACAGAGTTTTCATGCTTCGTTCGGGAGATTCGATGTCTGTAGTCCAAGAATTTGATATGAAAAAGAGTACTTGTTTGCATATTGCTTTCTACCAATAGTTGAAAACTGATATTATCTTGTTAATTGTATATGTTGATGATATTGTGATTACTAATAGTGATGATGTCTGGTATTTTAGCCCTTAAGTCTTTTCTCCATACCAAATTCCAAACAAAAGACTTAGGTTTATTGAAGTATTTCTTAGGTATTGAAGTTACCATATGCAAGAAGGGTATTTTTCTTTCTCAACGAAAGTATATTATTGATCTACCGACGAAACTGAAAAATTAGGAGCTAAACCTTCTAATGTACGAATGACTACTAATCTACAGACTTACAATAGATGATGGGGAGTTATTTACCGATCCCGAGAGATGTCGTAGGTTAGTTAGAAAACTAAAATTATCTCATAGTAACTCGTCCCGACATCGTATATCCCGTCGGCATTGTGAGTCGGTTTATGCCCTTTCCTCAAGTTACTCATTAGGCGACATTAGAGCGGATCTTATGTTATCTCAAAGAAACATCAAGGCGTGGTTTACTCTATAGTAATCATGGCCATTCTAGTATTAAGTATTTCTTAGATGCAGATTAAGTCGGGTCTAAGATTGACAGAAGATCTACTATAAGGTATTGTGTCTTTATTGATGGAAATTTAATGTCATAGAAAATCAAGAAGCAAAATGTTGTGCCTCAATATGGTGTAGAATCGGAGTATAAAGCTATGGCCCGAGTCCATGTGTGAACTTTTATGGATATCTCAATTGTTAAATAAGATTAGTCTTGAAAATCCTCTTCCTATGAAATTATGGTGTAACAATCAAACTCGCTCTTCATATTGCATCAAGTCCAGTTTTTCATGAAAGAACTAAGCATTATCACTTTATTTATGAGAAAATTGAATAAGGATTGATTTCTACAAATCATATCAAAACTGGAGAACAACTAGGTGATATCTTCACCAAAACTTTAAGGGGTCCTATGATTCATTATATTTGTAACAAGATAGGCATGATTAACATTTATGCTCCAGTTTGAGGTGGAGTGTTGTAAATATAGTAATTCAATAAATATAGTAAGTCAATTATAAGGCTGATTGAGGAGCCGATTTCTAGGAAGTGAATGACAGCTTGATTTTAGGGATTTAGATTGATCCTATACTCCGTATATATACATATTGTACTCATGCATTTCAATATGT